TAGAGACCAAATTGCCAACATTTACTGGATTATAAAGAAAGCAAGGGAGTTCCAGAAAAACATCTAAAACATTCATTGAGTGGAAAAAAGAGGAGGGGGATGCATTGCTTGAACCTTACTCTCATTGGATTTGGCTCAAAGAGGGAATAATAAAAATCTATCTTACCCTCCAAGTAGAAGAGGGAAAGGAGAAGAAAATAGTGGGGCTAATAGAAGGGAGGACAGATTGAGAGAGGAGGTGGTCAGAAGCAAAACACTGGTGAGGGACAGGGTGAAAGAAGAAAGAGAGAGAGAAAGAGAGAGAGAGAGAGAATAATTGAGCACATTAATAACAAAACCAACAGAAAATCATTATCTCAATAGATGCAGAAAAAGTTTTTGACAAAATACAACATCCTTTCCTACTAAAAACACTAGAGAGCATAGGAATAAGTAGAACTTTCCTTAAAATGATTAATATGTATCTAAAAACATCAGTAAGCATTATCTGTAATGGGGATAAGCCTTCCCAGTAAGGTCAGGGGTAAAGCAAGGATGCCCATTGTCACCACTATTATTTAATATTGTACTAGAAATGTTAGCTATAGCAATAAGAGAAGAAAAAGAAATGGAAGAAATTAGAATAGGCAATGAGGAAACACAACTATCACTTTTTGCAGATGACATGATGATATACTTAGAGAATCCTAGAGGATCAACTAAAAGACTATTTGAAATAATTAACACCTTTAGTGAAGTTGTAGGATATAAAATAAACTCCCATAAATCATCAGCATTTCTATGTATTACCAACAAAGTCAAGCAGCAAGAGATAGAAAAATTCCTTTTAAAATAACTGTAAACAAGGGGCAGCTAGGTGGTACAGTGGATAAAGCACCAGCGCAGGAGGACCTGAGTTTAAATCTGGCCTCAGACACATAACACTCACTAACTGTGTGACTCTGGGCAAGTCACTTAACCCCAATTCCCCCCCCCCAAAAAAAGAATAAAGGTCAACAATATCAAGGGAATTAATGAAAACAAATGTGAAGGAAGGTGACCTACTCATACCAGATCTCAAACTGTTTTTATAAAGCAGTAATCATCAAAACTATCTGTTACTAAATAATAGAGTAGTGGATCAGTGGAATAAATTAGGTATACAAGACACAGTAGTAAATGACCATGGTAATCTAGTGTTTGATAAAAGATTCCAACTTTTGGGATAGGAACTCACACTTGACAAAAACTGCTGGGAAAACTGGAAAGTAGTATGGCAGAAACTAGATATAGACCAACACTTCACACTGTATGCCAAAATAAGGTCAAGATAAATATATGATTTAAACATAAAGGGTGATACCATAAGCAAATTAGAAGAGCAAGGAATAGTTTACCTGTCAGATCGTTGGAGAAGGGAAGAATTTATGACCATACAAGAGATAAGAGAGGATTCATTACTAGATATAAAATGGACAATTTTGGTTTTATTAAAAAGATTTTGCACAAACAAAACCAATGCAACAAAAATTAGAAAGAAAGCATAAAGCTGGGAAACAATTATTACAGTAAGTGTCTTTGATAAAGCCTTCATTTCTCAAATATACAGAGAATTGATTCAAATGTATAAGAATACAAATCATTCCCCAGTTGATAATTGGTCAAAGGATGTGAACAGGCAGTTTTCAGATGAAGAAATTAAAGCTATCTATAGTCATATAAAAAAATGCTCTCTTAATTAGAGAAATGCAATAAAACCACTCTGAGGTACTACCTCACACCTATCAGATTGACTAATATGACAGAAAAGGAAAATAATAAATGTTGGAGAGGATATGGGGAAATGGGGACACTAACGTACTGTTGGTGGAGTTGAGAACTGATCCAACTATTCTGGAAAGTAGTTTGTAACTATGGTCAAAGAGCAACCAAACTGTGAACCTTTTGATGCAGGAATACCACTACTAGGTCTGTATTCCAAAAAGATTTTTTAAAGAAGGAAAAGCCTATTTGTACTAAAATGTTTATAGCAGCTCTTTTTGTAGTGGCAAAGAATTAGAAATTGAGGAGATACCCATTAATAGGAGAATAACTGAACAGGTTATGGTATATGATTGTAATGGAATACTATTGTGTTCTAAGAAATGATGAGCCCCTTTTTGTGGTGGCCAAGAATTGGAAATTGAGGGCATGCCCGTCAATTAAGGAATGGCTGAACAAGTTGTGGTGTATGAATGTAATGGAATACTATTGTGCTATAAGAAATGATGAGCAGGGGCAGCTAGGTGGCACAGTGGATAGAGTACTGTCCCTGAAGTCAGGAGGACCTGAGTTCAAATCTGACCTCAGCCCAAACACTTGACACTTACTAGCTGTGTGACCTTGCGCAAGTCACTTAACCCCAATTGCCTCACTTAAAAAAAAAAAAGAAATGATGAGCAGGCAGACTTCAGAAAAATCTGAAAAGATTTGTATGGATTGATGCTGAGTGAAGTGAGTAGAACCAGGAGGATGTTATACACAGTAACAGCCGTGTTGTATAATGACTAACATTGATAGACTTAGCCCTTCTAAGCAATGCAAGGATCTAAGACATCTCCAAAAGTCTCATGATAGAAAATGCTATCCACATCCAAAGAACGAAGTATGGAGTTTGAATGCAGATCGGAGCATACTATTTGCCATTTTTTTCCTCTTCTGTTTTGTTTCCTCTTTATTGTGGCTCCTCCTATTGGTTCTAATTCTTCCTTACAACATGAATAATGTGAAAATATTTTTAGTAAGAATGTGTATGTAAAGCCTATATCAGATTGTGCACCATCTTGGGGAAGGAGGGGGAGAAAAATTATAAACTCAAAAGCCTATGGAAGTGATTGATAAAATAAATTAGTAAAAAAAATTTTTAAATTAAATAAAAAAGAAATGATGAGCAGGCTGATTTCAGAAAAGGCTAGAAAGACTTCTGTGAACTGATACAAAGTGAAGTGAGCAGAACCAGGAGACCATTGTACACGATAACAGCAATGCTGTGTGATGATCAACTGTGATTGACTTAGCTAGACTTAGCAATACAATGATCCAAGACAATTCCAAAGGACTCATGATGAAAAATACTGTCCATCTCCAGAGAAAGGACTCATGGAGTCTGAATGTAGATGGAAGCATACTATATTTCACTTTCTGTATTTTTTTCATGTTTTTCCCCTCTTTGAGTCTGCATCATCTTTCACAACATGACTAATATGATAACATGTTTTGCCAAACTGCTTATTGTCTCAGGGAAGGGAGAAGTGAGAGAGAAAACTTGAAACTCAAATTTAAAAAAAAAACCTGAATATTAAAAATTGTCTTTACATGTAATTGAGGGAAAAAATATTATTTAGAACTGCAAAAATAAAAAATTTTATGTGCAGAGTACCTCATGGGAAGTGCCAGGCTGGATGAATCAAAAGCTGGAATTAAGGTTGTCAGGAGAAATATCAACAGTCTTAGAGATGCAGATGATACCACTCTGATAGAAGAAAGTGAAGAGAAATTAAGAAACCTTTTGATGAGGATGAAAGAGGAGAGTATAAAAGCAGGCTTGAGGTTTAACATAAAAAAAAACACAACTAAGATCTTGGCAACTTGTCCCATTACTTCCTGGCAAATAGAGGGAGAAGAAATGGAAACAGTGCCAGATTTTATATTTTTGGGTTCAAAGATCACTGTAGATGATGACTGCAGCCGTGAAATTAAAAGACATTTACTCTTTTGAAGGAAAGGTATGGCAAATCTGGACCAAAAAGCGGTGACATCACCTTGTCAGCAAAGTTCTATATAGTCAATGCTATAGTTCTTCCAGTAGCAATGTATGGCTATGAGAGTTGGAATATAAGGAAAACTGAACCCCACAGACTTGCAGCTTTGGAATTGTGGTGCTGGAGAAGACTTTTGAGAGTCCCTTGAATAGCAAGGAGATCAAATCAGTTAACACTTAAAGAAATTAATTCAGGCTATTCACTGGAAGGTCAGACGTTGAAGTTGAAGCTTAAATACTTTAGCCACGTAATGACTCATTGGAAAATGACACATAAAGGGTTCATTGGAAAAGACCCTGATGTTGGGAAAGATTGAAGGAAAAAGGAAAGGGGAACAGCAGAGGAGATGAATGGATAGCATCATGGAAACAATGAATGTGAACTTGGACAGACTTCAGGGGATAGTGGGGGCGGGGCAGTGGATAGAGCACCAGCCCTGGAGTCAGGAGGACCTGAGTTCAAATCCAGTCTCAGATACATAATATTTCCTAGCTGTGTGACTCTGGGTAAGTCTGTTAACCCCAATTGCCTCACCAAAAAGAGAGAGAGAGAGAGAGAGAGAGACAGAGAGAGAGACAGAGAGAGAGAGAGACAGAGACAGAGAGAGAGAGAGAGAGATAGTGGGGAATACAATGGCTTGGTGTGCTGAAGTCCATGGGGCCACAAAGAGTCAGACAACAAATTCCCACAACTTCTCCAGCATGACACGATCTTTCATGGTCTTTGCTAATTTGGTGGGTATGAGTTTTAATCTACATATGTCTTATTATTTACAATTTGGAGCATTTTGTGTATTTCCAATTGATTTTCCAACTTTTGTGTATAATTCTTTCTCAGTTCCTTAATTTCCCATGCTGCTGCTCAAATTAGAATAAAAAAATGCTTGTTTCTTTTCTCTATGTAAAAATTCTCTAGCAACCATAGAGAACATGTATTTATATAGTAGTGGTAACTTGCTAGTAATGTTCAGAACTACATAATTTGTAATGGTTCCTCTTTACACAATCATTTATTTTTTGCTTTTGCACCTTCTTTTCCATATAAAATCATGTGTTTTGGTTTACAGAGGTTCAAGTAGGGATGAAACATAGTGGAAAAAAAAGTATGAGTGGAAAAAACTTCAGATGTGTTGAGGTGAGAGACATATAGAAAAAGTGGGAGGGACCCTCTTTCTCTAGGTGTTGCAATGAATTTAAAATGTTATATCTTTTTTGCTCTTAGAATCATTTTTTCAGTTTTCTATGATGTCTCAGAGTGTTGGAGATGGCAAATCGAGTGACTTAAGTGTAATCAAGGTGGAATCAGAGATGAGAAGCATGAGAGAAAAATTCCTTGCAAAAGTAACAAAGTTAGTGGAAAGCAAAAGTTACAACAGCAAGGTCTTTTCTAAAGAAAAGTACTTCCAGACACTAAGGGAAGTAAAAGAAGCCAAAGAAAAGGGGAAGAAATCATCCCGGGACTACCGTCGTGTGGCAAAGTATGATGTGATCACGGTACGTGGTACTGAGAAACTGATTGAGGCAGCTCATGGAGAGCGAGATCGAATACGGTATTATGTGCACAAGGAAGAATTATTTGACATTCTCCATGAAACACATCTCAGTATTGGACATGGTGGACGGACTCGCATGCTAAAAGAATTGCAAGGAAAATACGGAAACGTTACAAAAGAAGTCATTGTATTATATCTGACTCTGTGCAAACAGTGCCATCAGAAGAATCCAGTGCCCAAGAGAAGTCTTGTAGCAAAGCCTATGACTTTTAAGGTAATTTACTCCAGATGCCAAGTTGATCTCATTGACATGCAGGCTAATGCTGATGGGGAATTCAGATTTATCTTAAGTTATCTGGACTACTTAACAAAATTTTTGATTTTACGGCCATTAAAATCCAAAAGGGTTCATGAAGTGGCATGTGTCTTATTAGACATTTTCTCAATTATTGGGGCACCCAATGTATTAGAGTCTGACAGTGGCAGAGAATTTGCAAATCATGTTGTCAGTGAGCTCAATCAGATGTGGCCAGACCTGAAAATTATCCATGAAAAACCTCAAAACAGCCAAAGCCAAGGTATGATAGAACAAGTGAACCAGGAGGTACAACAATTGATGAGTACCTGGATGCAGAGTAACAATTCACCTCACTGGGCTGAAGGTCTGCGATTTGTGCAAATGATGAAAAACCAGGCCATTCATGTAGGCTTACAACAAAGTCCCTATGAAGCAATGTTTGGTTGTAAACCTAAATTTGGTCTGTACAACTCAAATTTGCCCCATGATACTGTTTCCATTCTACACACAGAAGAAGAACTAGAGATTGCTGAAGAGCAGCTAGAAAACAACCTTGTGGTCAAGCAAGAAGAAGGCACTGAAATTGGAGCAGAGAAATCTGATCTAGAAGACATTGATACCAATCCTACTGAAATGCCTAAGCCATGCACATCACAGAGTGCTATGAGTCTGATCTGCCACTGAATAGTTGGTTGTATTTTAACCATTCATGGAGGTTTCTCCATATGCTGTCAACAAAATTCCTATCCAGGGCAGTTTGAGGCAAAGGAGGCAAAGGTTTTTGACCCCGAATCTAGATGTCCCTTGCAATTAAAAACAGCTATGAGGTTGCCTTATATCAGGTGGGGAGGAAAAAAGATATTTGACCTTAAAGTGCATTGGCTGGGATGTTAATGTGTAGTTGAACCTTTGTTCCAGTTTTCTCTGTTCACTCTCCCCCAAAACCTCCGCCCTACTAATTATTTTAGAAATAAAAAAGGTGTTCATTGAAAAGGGATGGAGAAAGGAATGGTAGGTAAAGGATATGGGATATGAGATGAAAGAAGAAATAAAAGAGAATGGAAGTGGGAAATGTCCCCAGGGCTAAGTCCCAAATATGAGACTGGGAAAATCAAGGGGAAACTGGCTGACCACCTGAGATAGACACTGTGGAGCAGAGGTTCTTCCTCCTTTGAAGTCTGTGATCTTGTTTTTTAAAATTATTTTTATGTATTTCAATGTAATTGGTTTCCTTTACAATCTCCTGTATTTTATTTTATGTATTTAAAAACATTATTCTGAGAAGCTGTCCTTAGGCTTCAACAAACTACCAATAACCATTCATAACCAACTAGCCTCTTAGCCTGGCTGTCTCTGCAGAACAGCCCTCAACTGAGTGGGATTGTGATTCTTGCTTTGAAACCTAACTCATACCTAATTCCTGACTGGATCGGCTATCACAAGCTAACTTTTGTCTATTAGGGAACAAAAGGAGAGCTAAAAGTAACTCTGGCCCAACTGAAGAAATTCAAACCTAGCTGTTCCATTCATGGCTAGCTGTCCATGCAAAAAACCACAAGTGTTGTTGACCTGTTGTCTTATTGGAGTGGAGGGTTTTGTGGGGGGTGAAGAATAATTAGGGGAGGGGCAGCAGCTAGTTGGTGCAGTGGCTAGAGCACCCACCCTGGTATCAGGAGGACCTGAGTTCAAATCTGGCCTCAGACAGATAACACTAGCTGTGTGACTCTGGGCAAGTCACTTAACCCCAATTGCTTCACCAAAAAAAAATAATAATAATTAGAGGACCCTTGATCATTTCCATTTCCCAAAGCTTACATAATGAAATTACAGAATGTAAGGGATGTGAGAAGTAAGAAATGATTATGTTTCCATATAAGGAAATTGAGAGGAAAGTAGCTTGGGGTCAGAAACTGGTTGTTTGATTAAAGAGGCTGGAAGTAGGACAAAGGTTAAGCTTTACTTAGAGTGCAGCATGCTTGAAACTTACCTAGGAGAACATGTGATAGGCGTTTCAGGAAGTCTGTGACCTGTGCAGATTTCTACCTTTGAAAGTCAGCTAGGAAGGACGTGTGGCCAGGGCAAAAGGGATATAAGGTTTGTTCTCCATTCTGTAGGGTTTGTGCGTGCTCATCTCGAGTTCCATACCCACTTCCTTTGGGAAGCGTATTAAAGGTTTCACTGCTTCACTCTTTCTGAGTCTATCTAACTTACTGTGCCTATTTGGGCACCAAGTTTTTCTAACAGGGACAAGTAATAGGCAATGATAAATATAAAATTTACATTACGGTCATACTAATAAATAAGAAATCTTACACTTGAATTCAAAAAATTAACTTAAATACCAGATGGTAGAGACATTCTTAGAAGGTAAGTTTTTCTGGAAAAGATTTGAGGGTTGAGTCAAGTGTGATATGGTAGACTTAAAAAAAATAGTACTATCTTGAACTGCATTAAAAAAAGAAATATCTTCTAGGAATAAGAAGGTGATAGTTCCACTATAGTGTATCTTGTTTAGGCAGTATCTGGAATCTTGTGTTCAGTTCTGGGAACATTTTAGGGAGCTTGGAGAGGGTGCAACCATGATTGTGAAATACCTAGAGATTATACCATATGAGGATTATTTGAAGGAACTGGAGATATTTAGCCTAGAGAAGAGAACTCTCGGGGGCACATGTGTTTTCGTACTTGAAAAGCTAATTGGCCCCATTGGGCAAAACTAAAAGTAATGGATGGAAGTTAAGCAATTTTCCTCTTGATAAAAGAGTAGTCCTGAAATATAATGAACTGCTTTTAGAGGTGGTAGATTCACTTTCACAGGAGGTCATCAAACGAAAGCTGGATGAACTTGTCAGATGTGATAGATAGTGGGAATTATTACAGAGAATTAAGAAGAAAGTGAAAGAAAAGGAAGTGCAAACACCTATCATAGATGACCTCAAGGAATATTGTTGTTATTTTTTGTCCTTATTTCTTGAAGAGCACCAAAGACATCAGAAGGGTGATGTCTTGACTTGCAGATAGATTGGATTTAAGTAAGGCATCGCTGTGCAAAGTCATAAGTTTCACCCTCTCCTCCAGAGTATTTGGAGTCCAGTGGCCAGACATAGGTCAAGATGGCCCCGGCTGCAGTGGGAGACCTTGACCTTTCTAAGCTAAGGTCTGTCCCAGGTCTCCTCAGTTTGTCTGAGGCAGCACCCATTCAGTAATTAAAGGCTAGGTAAGAACTGAGGCAAAAGATGGCTTAGTTTGCCTTCACAGAAGAATGAGTCTGAGAGGGGAAGACTCTCAGAGTTTTCTGGACAGAACAAACAATTGCTATTTACAGTCTGTCTGAGCCATCAAAACCCAAACAATGAGCAAATAAGGTTTGAGCTGGGACCTATTATTGGCCAATCAGTGAAAGCCAGAGTGGTTTGAGTTTAAAAGCATAGTCAAGTAGCTCCATTTGAATCACAGTGGGCTTTATCATAGCCTGTTTTTTCTGAGCTATGTTTTAAGAAATCATAAATGAAAAATACATAAGACAAAAGAATGAATTTATATCTGCCAGTTGAGCTTCTTTTCGGCTTTGGCCCAGCTACTTAATTCTTTCCAGAGCTACTTGTAGTTATCCTCTGCTCTTATCCAGTAATGTATTAGACACCTTCTGACCTGAGGGGCTCATCTTCTGATATCATCTTTTATCATTTTAATACTGTCCATGGTGTTTTCTTGGAAAAGATACTGGAAAGGTTTGCCATTTCCTTCTCTAGTGGATCACTTTTGTCAGAACTCTCCACTATGACCTGTCTGTCTTGGGTGTGCATAGCATAGTAAAAGGAAATGCAAGCACCTATCATAAATGACCTTCTCTAGAAGTATAGCCATAAAAGGAAGGAGATGAAAGCTAGTTGGAATGGACAGATCAACTGAGAGTTTTTTGAGGATGGTGGAGACATAGGCATGTTTGTAGGCGGTAGGGAACCCCCAGTGGACAAGGAAAATGTGAAGATAAGTGAGATAGTGGGGATGATAGAGGTGGCAATCTTAATCAATAAACATTAAGCACTTACTATGTGCCAGGCATTGTACTAAGCATAGGGACTATAAAAAGAAGCAAAAGATAGTCCCTGTCCTCAGGTTACAATCTAATAGGAGAGACAACATGAGAACAAAAATATACAAAGCAAGCTATGTACAGGATAAATAGAAGATAATTAACAGAGGGAAGGCACTAGGATTAAGAGTTGTTAGGCTAGCTGTGTGATCATGGGCAAGTTACTTAACCTCCATTGCCTCACCAAAAAGCAAAAAGCAAAAAGTTGTTAGGGAAAGCTTCATGTAGAAGGTGGGATGTTACTTGGAACTTAAAGGAAGCCAGAGAGGTCAGTAGTGAGAGTGGAGGAGGGAGAGCATTCCACACATGGGGGACAGTCAGAGAAAATGCCCAATACCTAGACATCCAATTCAAGATATCTGAAAGACACCTAGAGATGCAAGATTGGGGATCAGCAGAGAATTTAGGGCAGGATAGGCATATTTGAGAATCACCAGCAGAGATGGTGATTAAATCCATGAGAGCTAATGAAGTTACAGCAAGGTCAATGGAGTTGAACAAGAAGGCCTCAGCTGTCATCCTGGCAAACCCTCAGTATCAGGTGCTACCAGATCATTAACGTCTTTGCTTAAAGATGAGCCCTTGAAATCCACGGAACCTAGATCTAGCTGTAGGATTTGGGAAAACAGGGTAGGGCTTTCTATGTATCCTGGAGGTAAACAAGTCCATGTCCACTGTGTGTTCTTCCAGGTGAAGGCAAACAAGTACTGAGGATCTCAATGAATTGGAATGCTAAAGGAAGCTGAACACAAATCTAACACTGAAAAACAGGTAACATCCCAGAGAATGGGAGACAATGGTGCCTGGGTTTAGAACTACTAGATGTCTAGGTATAACACAGGCATTAACAGTGTGTAAATCCTGCACAAAATGATAAACAGGTTTACCATCAGAGCCTGGCTAAGGTTTTTTAACAAGCAGAATAGGAGTGTTACAAAGGGATTTACATGGAATCTGGTCTCTAAGAGAGTCAATAATGGGTGAAATGTTTTCAATAGCTTCTCTCGATAAGACATACTGAGGAACAGACTGTGGTGGCCTTCCTTTGGTTCTACTGGTGACAGGAATAGCAGCTTTTAAAAACTCTGCATCTAAGGATGAGATAACCCATAGAAAGTCAGGGATGTCAGGAATATCCTGACTATCCTCAGGAGTTTCTTGGGCATTTTGAACCAAAATAGGAAACAAGGAGAAGGAATTCTCAGGGAGGTGTAACGCAGTGGATCCATTGGGGAACATGGTATAGTGCCTCACGGTTAACAGAGCAGATCTTGACCTAACAAATTCCTAGGAGATTTAGGCATAAGTAGAAAAGAATATTTTACTATAAGAAGACTATCAGTTAATATATGAGGAGCCAATCAACAACACTGAAGTCCCAGTAGCCATACAGTTAGAGTCTGGCCTTCTTGTCAGAACTGAATTAGAAGCACTTCTGTCTAATAAGCAATCATACAATGTGTCTCCAACTTTAAGAGTAACATATGGTATACCAGTGTGGGGAGAGGCAAAGCCTGGGATAGCTATGGCAAGGACATCTGGACTGGGAAAAACCAAATCTTCTTCAGAATTTGCAGTTGCTGCTCCTTTTACCCTCATACCATAGATCTTCAGTGAGTCCTCCCAGGTTTCCCCTTATTCTGATTCTTTAAGTCTCCTATCAGCTTTCTACAGTCTTTGGCAAGATGTTCTTTTTTGAGACAATAAAGCAACTCAGTTTCCTGAAGCTCCCTGAACAAAAGCGAAAGTAGTCTGTGTTTTTGGCTTAGATTTTGCCTTTTCTTTATTTCTTCATATATGTGTGTATGTATAGGTATGTGCATATGTATACATATATATGTGTGTGTGTAAGTATATGTATATGTGTGCACACATGCACACGTACATATACCTATATACATACATGTACATCTGAACATACGCATGTGTGCACATATATGTATATATCTGTGTGTGTGTGTGTGTGTGTATAGGCATATATACATACATATATATAGCTCCTATGCTGAAAATATCAGAGGCTGGGATTGATTAACAAAAGGCTATCTCCAGGACCGGGGTCCCTCTCTTGACCTCCTGGCTCACTAACTGTCATGAGCAAAATTGATAGAGACTGAGGTAGTTAATATCTGAACAAATCTTTTTATTAGCAAGGCATGCAGTTGCATAACAAATCAGATCTAAGGCCCCTCAGTAGGCATAAGGACACCAAATGATAGTATTGACCTTAAAGTTTGGTTAAAAGAGGCAAACAAGTTAGGATATATGTATATGTGTATGTGTGTGTGTGTGTGTGTATATATATAATGTATGTACATATATGTATATATATGTGTGTGTGTATATATATATGGTTTATTCCCCTTAAGCTAGTAGAATTCATTCATAGGGGATAATTCTGACACCAAGATAAGCAGGATGAGAAGACTTTTTATATATTTAGAATATATTTATATATTTAGACTCAGGATGTCTGTGTCACTCAAATTTATGGTCTCCATATGTATTTAACCATAGCATGAGAAAGGAATTTTTTTTTTGGCTAGGCAAAGGGGTTAAGTGACTTGCCCAGGGTCACACAGCTAGTAAGTGTCAAGTATCTGAGGTCGGATTTGACCTCAGGTCCTCCTGACTCCAGAGCTGGTACTCTATCCACTGTGCCACCTAGCTGCTCCAAGAAAGGAATTTTCTTAATTGAATAGGTTGTAAATACAATAAGATAAGAGAAGTGTCGAAGTGTCAGTTGAAGTTACAGTCCCAGGATATCTGTGTTTCCCCTACATAGCATATGTCCAAGATAAGAAAAGTCCCATTATTCAAGACAGTGTCCGGTCCGAGGCACCTTGTCCTTAGTGGTCATAAACAGAAGAATGCTCCTGGTCAGCTTCATTTGGCCTTGTAGTCGTTGACACAGGAAAGGCATTCTGGGTTCACTCAGAGAGCAGAGCAAAGCACGTTTGTTATGCCAGGGTGCTTCTTCTGGTTGATTAGCTCAGGCTTTGGCCCTTATTGAGGCTCAAATGATCTTAAATGATTGTCAATAGATCACAAAGTTTTTTTCTAGTCAATAATGAAGAACAAATCAAGTTATATAATCTTGGGCAATGGCATTTCTTCATTCTGAATGGCCAAAGTATGACAAAACTGAAGGGTATTATGTACATATTTGTATTTCCCTGAAATCATATGAAAAAAGCTTTTACAGGAATATAGAACTGTAAGTCACATGATGGGATGCTGTTCACAGCATGGAGCTGGTTTGGTTCTTTCAAGACCAGGCTATTTGATGGAAGCATACAGTTAGTCCTTGTCAAGAAATTGTGTCAGAGGAAGACAACATGAAAATGAAAGCTGAAGGCTGTGTTGTTGTGGTTTTGGGAGGTGGGGAGATGAAGGTAGGCTGGCCTTGGGACCATGGTAGAGAAAGTCGAAAGAGTCCGGAGAGCAGCCTAGAGAGGAATGAAGACTCAGCTGGCCTGGCCCTCCTCCTTAAAATGGGGGGGCGGGGTGTGGAGTCCTGAGATGAACCAGGATGGTTCTGATGGAGAGGCCAGAGCGTCAAGGCTACTTCCAATGTGAGAAATAGTCGAGGGGTGGAGTGAGTTAAGATTGTGTAACTAAGGCACACTGAAATACTGTTGGTTGACCTGTGAAGTGATCCAATGATTCAGAAAAGCAATTTAGCAATATGCTTTTTTAAAAAGTTACTAAAAGTAAAAGTCCATATGACGGGGTGCTTGGGTGCTTGTGTTTGGGTGCTTGTACTTGGACCCCAATTTCTCCCTAGCCTCAGAAACACTGTCCCTGACAGTTTCTCCCCAGCCCAAGGACCATGTGCTTAGCAATTACTCATGAGTGGGCCCCAGCAAGACCCTTATCTCTCTCCCTGGTGCAGTTCCAAACAGCAAACTGAAGGATTTATTAGTTTAAACTGGCTTTGCACTGGGTCATAAAGACATTCTTACCCACTACTATACTATCCTACTGCCCTACCTTATTATCTGCATCCTGGGCTCCTCATTAACTGTATTCTAGACTTAAGACATATGTATACTCCCTACATCTATCTTGTCTAACAAGACATTGATTGGTAGCGGACTGGACAACTCTCAGTTACCCTGAACTCTAGTTGACTTACTGACATAGCAGGCCTAAAACCACACCTCCATGTGGCCCCCCTTGTGGGCTTTTCCTAGTGAACTCTGGGTAAAACGCTTGTGCAGTAGGTACAAGAAGTGCATGTTCTTTTGAGAACTGACCACTCCTTAACCACTCCCTAATCCCACCCTGAATCCCCTAGTCAGCATATTTGGCACATGTTTTATTGTATTTTATCCTATATAAACTTTAACTGTACCTCTCTAAGGTTGCAGGATCCTTTAAGAATCCTTGCCCGCTGAAAAATGTAACAATAAACTTTGCCACCTTGGCTTAAAGAATGCTTCAATCTGTGAATTCATTCCAGATGACCCATGTACTTCAGTCTTTGAGGGGTCACAACCTCTCAGTCCGCAACACATATACTTTAACCAGGTGGAACTGGTAACTAGCTCAGCAGCTAGCTCTCTGCAGAAAAAAAAAAAAACCATATGCTTGACACAAGGTTAATCTGCATTTTCTCCATCATTTTCTTAAGCCTAGACAATCAATAAAACAGTAATTTTCAATATTTATTATTTATACCCTGATTTGTAGTGCATGCCAATTTCCAAAGTATAAGGCTCACACTGAAAATTCAACAATCCCCCCACTCCCAGGAGGTGGTTTTGAGTTGGCTCCAGCATGCCCCTTGCTGTTAACCCAGAAATCCCAACTGCCAGGCATATATTTCAAAGAGGTCAGAAGTAGACGCCTTTTGGTTGGAGAATGGCGCTAAACAGTGGTTTACATTATGTGTTTTGTTTTTTAATAACAATAAAAGACCAATTTCCTTTGTCAATTAAAAACACTGCATCAGCCCTCAGGGCTTCTGACCCAAGTGCAGTAAGAAGGGTGTTGCTCTTCCAACCCCAACCGGTAAATTTGCGTCTGCGCGTGGAGGTCTACCAATCACCTCGGGTTTTGAGGCGTTGGAGGGGAAGGGCGGGGGCGGGAAGGGGAAGATTATGGGATGGAGCTGGAACCAGGTTGAATGGTGGTGGGCTTTTATTAGCAGTGCCGTGGGGGCGGCGGTGAAGGGCTGTTGCTGGACAAATTGAGAGCTGGACAAATAGATCTGCAGTTTTGGAGCCAGTTTCTGAATTGGGCGGGGGAGAGTTGGAGGAAAGAGGGATGCACTACCCTCCTTAGCCTCTTAGCGGGCTTAGAAGGGGAGGGCCCAGAGAACTACAATACCCAGAAGCCCCAAAGCGTCCCAGCGGCTCAGAAAGGGCTTTGGGGAGCGCGCCCTCAAGGAGTGTGGCGGAATTGGCAAGAGGCAAAAACAAACTGCTCTCCTGCTTTGGTGTTTCGCCAGGTGAGAACCAGGAAACCTAAGTTCCGGGACATTTCCAGGTTTTCTAGTTCAGCACTCTTATTTACAATTGAGGTTCAAGTTGGGAAGTTTGGACACCTTTCTCATCTTAAAGTGATTATAATCCTGTTGCTGAACAGAGGGAGTCGGGAGTGGCACCTGCTAGCTTTGTGATCAGGGGAACATTGCCCGTCACGTCAGATTTTTAAAATGGTCGTTAAATTTAAATGTTCGTTATTTTTTCTGAATTTTTTTTCCCTCTCTCTCTCTTTTGTGTGTGTGAGTGTGTGTGAGTCGGGAAAGTGGCGAGTTATACTATTGAGGCAGAGAAGCATACAAGGGACATTGTAAAGATATAAAAACAGTAAAAACAGTAATAAAATAGATCTAAAAATAAGTACAGAGAAAAGCCGAATGGGGTTAAGAAGAGATCAAGCAAGCAGTGCACCGTGAATTAAATTTAATATTTAACCTGAAAGCATGAATATTTGCAACATGGAGCTGGGCTTTTAAAGGTTTTATATACAGTCCTCTCTATTCTGTGTTCATGTTTCTTAATATTTGTTGAATTCATAATAAAATGTAGACCATGGCACCAGAAACGTAGTATTTCTGCATAGCTGTAACAAAATCCAATAGTCAATAATAGGGAAATCTTATTCTAAAGAACTACGAAACGCATAAACAATCTCAGGTAGTCCACCAAGACCATATCCAAGGTATACAAAAAAATTTACAGATCTATGGTCTTTTGAATATTCACCCATTGGTTTTTTGGGCAAATGAAAACTACTCTGAGGTAAAGATAACAAAAGATGGAAATTTACTTGATGGACTGCAGGAAGACAAGCACACTAATACACTTGGTAAAGTTGTAAACTGAACCAACATTCTAAAACAATTTTATTACACTAAAAAAATACCTTTTTACCAGAAATCTGCTGCTAAGTGTATACCTTTAGGAAGGTCAAAGGGAGAAAGAAAGGCCACATGTATGCCAAAATATTCCTTGTAGCACTTTTTCAGGTAGCAAAGAACTGGAAACAAAGTAGGTGCCCATCAATTTGGGAATGGACAAAATTGTGATATACACGAATGTAGTGAAATATTTCCATGCTGTAAGAAAGGACAAATATGATGATTACAGGGCAACATGAGAAGACCTACATGAACTGATATACATAAACAACATGCAGTATTATAAATGGAAAGGCAACAATAAAACAACTGAAATGGAATGCTATGAAATAACAACTGAAGAACGCTGTACAATTCAGACTTGGTTGATGTGCTGGTTAGTTTTACTGAACTTTGTTTCCCCGGTTTTGTTTTTAATTATAAAGGATGACTCTTTGGAAGAAGCAAAGAGAAGAACATATTGGGAAATGTGGGTTATGTAAAAACTTTTTAATTAAAAAGATATACTGAATATGAGTTCATAAAAACTAGGAAAGAAAAACAAACCAGGTAAAGCAAGCAGAACCAGGAAAACAATGTATGACACAGACTATAACAATGGAAATAGAATAAACAATGTTTGTGAAGTAAACTTGGCCCCAGGGAAGAAATGAGATCTCCTTTGCTTCTATGCAGAGGTGGGGAACCATGAGTGTGCAATGTTGCCTGTACTGTTAGACATGGTCCATGTAATAGTTGGTTTTGCTGAGGTTTTTTTTTTCTTTTCTTTTTTAGATCTTTGTTCCTAAGGAAAGCTTATAGGCAGAAGAAAAGTTGTGTGGTAAAGAGTATGGACCTGACAGTCCTGAAGTTTGAGTTTAACACAGAGAGTTAAGTGTTCTTAATTTTTTGTGCCTCACAAATCTCTTTGGCAATCTGGTCAAGCCTATAGACCCTTTCAAACTAATTTTTTTAAATGCATAAAAGAAAACACATAGAATCACAAAGGAAATCAATTATATTGAAATACATTTCTTTTTACCCAGGTTAAGAACCCCTGAGAAACAGAGGGAGCCATTGAAGGTTTTTGAGCAAAGTAGGAATGTCATGGAAATTAGGTATTTAGGCAGTGTTAGTGTATTTAAGTAGCTATTCCTTGACCTGGCTTCAGACCCCTCAGGCCCACTTGGAGCTTCTTGATTCTCTTGGATGTGGGATAAAAGAATGTCTGAGATAGCCCTTTCTTGTTTTCCCATCTCTTGTGACAAGGCCATTTGGAGCCTTATTCTCATGGTTGTGGATGAGGGACTTTCTACACTAATCAGAGAACATCCTATATGCTTAGCACCCTCTATACCACAAAATCCCTTTTTTCCTGCCACCTTCTTCGCTGGTTCAGCCAACTCCCATCCCTTCAGAGTCTAGTAGTAGGATTATCCTCAGAGCAGTTGAGATATGTTGTTTTAGGATTCGGTGATATTTAAAGGTATTGTGCTCTGACTGCACCAGGAGGAATTAGAAATGGTGCACGCTGCACAGAGGAGTGTTATTCTGGAGATGCACCAAACCTATCTCTCTGAGGAAGGACTCTTAATGGCCTTCTTATCTATTCATTAGGGATTCTCAGTTTCTTTTTTTGTGGAGCCTCTGAAGTCAACAACTCATTTTGTATGTATAAGTCAAGGGCTCAGATCCCTAAGCACTCTGCGCATAGAAGTAGAACATTTCTGTTTTGGTTCTCAGGTGATCAGTGTAATCATACTGTTACATTGGAAAAACAAAGACTTTGGAGTCAAAGGACCTTGGTTCGAAATGTGGCTTTGGCACTTACTGATTGTGGGCAAGTCATTTAACCTCACTTGACCTCGCTTTCTTCATCTATAAAATGAAGGGGTTAGACTGGATTATCTTTAAGGTCTATTTCAACTCTAGAATCCTATATGTCTCTATATTGCCTAATAATTATTTTCTAGTTCTATTGTCTGTTTTGTCTCTCCAAATGAACCGTCAGGAAGGATAATTTTATCTCTGCTTGCCTGGATTATTAAAATAGTTTACTATCTCGTTTCCTTGCTTCTGACCTATTTTATATTTAACTGCTCGAATAGTTTTCAGCCAACACCATTGTTAAATTTCCTTCTACACCAAATCCAAACTCTCCAGCCCAGCAGGCTCTTTACATTTTCATCTTTTCTTATCTCAGTTACTCCCTGTTATGAATTCTGATTGCAGTGACAGCTCCTTGAGTTATTATTTCCTGCCTTCAAAATGCAGCTCAGCTTCACTCTTCCCAGAAATGCTCTGCGAGTGTTCCCTGTGCTAAACAACACCCTGTGCTATGAAGATGCCCTTCTTCCCTTTTATTTCTCTGTTTACATCCTGTTGGTAGGTGGCGTTTAAGAGAAATCAAAGCTACGTGTTCCTGGTACCTTTAACTCCAAATTTATGAGCCTGTTTATTAATCAACAGCATCCTTTGCTCAGAAACCAGATTGCGTCTGTATTTTCTGTTTCTTATTTCAGTATGTAAGGCAAGAAGTGATATTCAGCAGAAGTGGAACTTCATGAAGTGGTACCAGAAAGACTGTCCAAGGAACATTCTCCCAGGAAATCAATTTTGGAGAACACCATAAACATAAAGGGAACTCTTAGAGAAGTGACAGAGAAACTTTACGCATGAGAGATTGGTGAGATTTCCTTCCCAAGACTGTGGTATTCCAGTCAATAAACATTAAACATCTACTGTGTGCCAAAGACCATGCTGAATGCTGGGGTTATGAAGAAGGGCAAAAGACAATCCCTACCCTCGAGGAGCGCACAATCTAAAGAGGGGGACAACATGCAAACAACTATATACAAACAAGATATATAACTTGGAGGGTATCAACAAAGGAAAGGTGCTAGCAATAAGAGGGTTCAGGAACGGCTTCCCGTAGAAGGTGACATTTTAGCTGGAACTTTAAGGAAGCTAGGAGATTGGGATGAGGAAGAAGAGCATAGGGGACATTCAGATTGAAGAGTATGCAGTACGGGCATAGGAGATACAAAGTTATGAGAAGATTGTGAAGGGGATGGAGAGGACTAGGTTATCAAAGGCTTCGGATACCAAACAGAGGTTTTTATATTTGATCTTGGAGATGATTGGGAATCACTGGAGAATATTGAGTAGAGGGTCTGACTCGTGTTTTAGGAAAATCACTGGAGTAGGAAGAGACTTGTGGCAGGCTATTGCAGTAGTTTAGGCAGGAGGACCCGTGCCAGGGTGGTGGCAATGTAAGAGGAGAGAAGGGGGTATATATGAGAGAGGTTACAAAGGTTAAATCGGCAAGCCTTGGTAATAGATTGGATTGGAGGGGGCGGGTATGGAGGGGTTTAAGAGATAAGGAGGAGTTAAGGATGATACCTAGATTGTAAGTATAGGGGAATGGGAGAATAATGGTGCCCTAGGGGATGGGAATAATAATAGCACCTACCTGAAGGGTTGTTGTGAGGATCAGATGTAATAGTATTTGTAAAAAGCACTTAACATATACCCGGCACATAGTAGATACCATATAAATGCTTATTCCTTCTTGCCTTTCTCTCCTTGCCAGCAATAGGGAAATTTGGAAGGGGGAAGGGTTTGAGGGGGAAACTAATGAGTTCAATTTTTGACATGTTGAGTTTAAGATGTTTACAGGACATCTAGTTTGAGATTTCTAAAAAGAAGTTGGAGTTTTGAGACTGGAGGCCAGCAGAGAGTCCAAGGATAGATAAGCAGATTTGAGAATCATTGGCAAGGAGATGATAATTGAATCCATGGGAGCTGATGTGATCACCAAGTGAAGTAGTACAGGGGAAAAGAATATAACATGGCCAGGATAGAGCCCTGTGTAAAACCCAAATTAGTGGACATGAACTAGATGAAGATACAGTAAAGGAGACTGAGAAGGAATGATTAGTTAGGTAGAAAGAGACAAGGAGAGAGTAGAGTACTGAAAACTGAAGGGAAGAAAGTATCAAGATGAGAATGATTGACAGTGTCAAAGGCTAGAGAGAGATGAAAAGGGATGAGGAAAATGCCACTGGATTTGGCAATTGTTTGATCGAATGATGAGGCCAGAAACTGGAACATAGAAAATTAGGAAGAGAGTGAGAGAAGAAGTGTAGGTACTTATTTCTCAAGAAGCTTAGCCACAAAAGATAAGAGATATAAAAGCGAGTAGTCACTGGGGATAGATGGATCAAGTGAGGGATTTTGAGTATGGGGACACATGGACATGTTTCTGGGCATCAGGGAAGTAGCCAGTGGACAGGGAGAGATTGGGAATAAGTGAGAGAGTGGTGATGATAGAGGGATCAATCTTCTAGAGGAGGCTTGGTGGAATGGGATCACTTGTGGAAGCAGAGAGGTTGGTCTTGGCAGGAAGGGCCACCTCTTTGTGTGACAGGTGAAGGAGGAGATAATGGCAAAAGGCATGATAGATGAGAAGGAGTGGTGATAGGCCCCTTTCCCCAAGGCAGGAAGCCAGGCTAGAAATGGTGTGCTTCACCTTCCTCTAAGTGGCTGGATAGTTAGGATGGAATGGTATTTCTCTTGTTCCTGCAGGAGGTTATAGACCAAGCAGGAGATTTGTGGAGATCTGGCAGGAGATGAAAAGAGCATGATGGTAAGGTGATCTCCTTTTGTCTTCCCTCCTTTTCTTTTCCTCCCATAGACTGGTGCTCTCAGAAAATATATGTGGGGCATGATGATATGGCACTCACCTCTCCCACTCTTACTGGAGGCTAGAGACCAGATAGGAGATTCACAGATATCAAGCAGGAGATGAGCAGAGCGTGGGTGTGTTTGTTATACTCCTGGCCTATGTTGAGGTCTGTGAGTTACCATAAGTACTCTTTTTCACCCTGGAACTGTGACCAGGGTCCCGCTCCCTGCAGGTGCAAGCTCTGGTGTGTTAGTGCTCCACTTTGCCCTGGGACCGCGACCCAGGACTGGGACTTAGATTGGATTAGGGGCAATGCAACAGAGTCCTGCACCCTGTGCCAACAAAGGGACCCCATAATCTTCTCACCATACCGTCTGTAGGCTAAGAGTGCTTAAAGCAGCAGCTGCCCACCACTGATTCAGTCGCCCCTAAGGCCTGCTGCTGGTTTCCTGTGGCACAGCCTGTATGGTATGGCTTGCTCTGGAATGTGCTACATTCTAACCCTGGTGCAACAGACTTTTCCTGCCAACCTTCTAAGTTGTCTTGGGCTACAAAATTGTTTCACCCCATCCTTTTGTGGGTTCTGTTGCTCCAGAATTTGTTTTGAGGCATTATTTAAAGTTGTTTGGAAGGGAATTTGGGAGAGGTCAGGTGAGTCCCTGCCTTTTCCTCACCATCTTGGCACCACTCCCAGCTCATCATTTATAGCACAGTAGTATTCCATCACAGTCATATACCACAGCTTGTTTATCCATTCCCTAATTGATGGGCATTCTCTTAGTTTTCAGTTCTTTGCCACCACAAAGAGAGTTGCTACAAAAATATTTTAGAACATGTAAGTTCTTTTTCTTTTTCCCAAATCAGCTTAGGAAACACACATAGTAGTGGTATTGCTGGGTCAAAGGGTATACACAGTTTCATAATTATTTGGGCATAATTCCAAATTGCCCTTCAAAATGGTTTTCACAGTTCCACCAACAGTGAATTAGTGTACCAGTTTTTCCACATTCCTTCCAGCATTTGTCATTTTCCCCTTTTATCATTTTAGATAATCTTATAGGTGTAAGATGATATCTCAAAAGTTGTTTTAATTTGCATTTCTCTAATCAACAGTGATTTAAAAGCATTTTATATGACTATATATAGTTTTGGTTTCTTCATTGAAAAACTGCCTGTTCATATCCTTTGACCATTTATTCATTGGTGAATGACTTGTATTCTTATAGATTTGTCAAAGTTCTTTATGTATTTGAAATGAGACCTTTATATGAGAAGCTGTCTATACATTTATCCCACAATTTTTCTGCTTTTTCTTCTAATCTTGGCTACATTGGTTTTTATTTCTACAAAACTTTTTAATTTGATGTAATCAAAATTATCCATTTTATACTTCACCATGCTCTATATTTCTTGTTTATTCATAAATTATTCTCCTGTTTACAAGTCGAATAGGTAATATGTTCCATGTTCTTCTAATTTTCCTATAATATCTCCCTTTATATGTAGGTCATGTATCCGCTTTGACCTTTTATTGATAAATGGTGTAAGATATTGTTCTATACCCAGTTTCTGCCCAGCTGCTTTCCAGCTTTCTTAGTAATTTTTTTTTTACCAAATAATGAATTCTTATCCCAAAAGCTTAAATCTTTATATTTGTCAAACACAAGATTACTATAATCATTTGCTGCTATGTATTGTATGTCTACTCTGTTCGAGTGATCTACCTTTCTGTTTCTTAACCAGTACTAGATAGTTTTGTTAATTACTGCCTTATAATATAGTTTAAGATCTGGTACTACTAAACCTCATGCCTTTACTTTTTTTTTTCTATTAAATCCTTTGATATTCTATTAAATCCTATCTCTATTCTTTTTTCTTCCAAATGAATTTTGTTATTTTTTTTTCTAGCTCAATAAAATATTTTTTGGTAATTTAATTATGATGGCATTGAATAAATAGATTGGTTTAGGTAAAAATTATCATTGTGTTCTATTGATTCTGCCTACCCACTAACAATATTTCTTCAATTACTGAAATCTGATTTTATTTGTTTAAAAAGTGTTCTATAATTATGTTCACGTAGTTTCTGGGTTTGTTTTTGTAGATATGCTCCTAGGTATTTTATACTGCCTAGAGTTATTTTAAATGGGGTATCTCTATCTCTTCTTGCCCGGTTTTGTTGGTGATATATAGCAATTATTATGATTTATATGGGTTCATTTTATGTCCTACTACTTTGCTAAAATTATTAATTGCTTCAGCTGAATTTTTAGTTGAATCTTTAGGATTTTCCAAGTATATCATCATATTATCTGTAAAAAGAGATAGTTTTATTACCTCATTGCCCGTTGTGATTCCTTCAAATTCCTTTCATCTTATTGCTATTGCTAGCATTTCAATACTGAAAAATATTGGTGACAATGGGCATCCCTTTTTCACCTCTTATCTTATTGGAAAGGCTGCTAGCTTATCCCCATTACAAATAATGCTTAATGATGGTTTAAGGTAGATGCTTCTTATCATTTTAAGGAAAAAATCCATTTATACCTGTGCATTCAAGTGTTTTTGATAGGAATGAGTGTTGTATTTTATCAAAAGTTTTTTTATCTATCTATTGATATAATCATATGATTTTTGTTACTTTTATTATTGCTATAGTCAATTATGTTAAGTTTTCCTTATGTTAAAGCATCCCTATATTCCTGGTGTAAATCCCGCTTGGTCACAATGTGTAATGTTTGTAATATATTGTTGTAGTCTCCTAGGTAGTATTTTATTTAGGGTTTTTGTATCCATAATCATTAATGAAATTGATCTATAATTTCCTTTCTCTGTTTTTGTTCTTCCTGGTTTAGGTAGCAGTACCATATTTGTTTCATAAAAAAGAATTTGGTAGGATCCCTTTACCTATTATTCCAAATAATTTATTTAATGTTGGAATTAGTTGATCTTTAAATGTTTGATAGAATTCACTTATAAATCTATCTGGTCCTGGTGCTTTTTCCTTAAGAAGCTCATTTATGGTCTGTTCAAATTCTTTTTCTAAAATAGGTTTATTTAGATATTGTATTTCCTTTTCTGTTAATCTGGGCAGTTTATATTTTTCTAGCTATTCTTCCATTTCACTTAAATTGTTAAATTTATTGGCATATAATTGGGCAAAATAACTCCTTATAATTGCTTTGATTTCATCTTCACTAGCCATTCATTTTTAATGCTTAGTGATTTGAATTTCTTCTCTTTCTTTTTTTTTTAACTTTTAGGCAATTGGGGTTAAGTGACTTGCCCAGGGTCACACAGCTAGTAAGTGTCAAGTGTTTGGTCTGAGGCCAAATTTGAACTCAGGTCCTCCTGACTTCAGGGCTGGTGCTCTATCCACTGTGCCACCTAGCCGCCCCCGAATTTCTTCTCTTTTTAAAAAAATCATATTAACCAATGGTTTATCTATTTTAATTTTTTTTATAAAACCAACTCCTAGTTTTATTTATTAGTTAAACGGATTTTTACACTCAATTTTATTAATCTCACCTTTAATTTTTAGGATTTCTAATTTGGTGTTTAATTGGAGATTTTAAATTTGTTCTTTTTTCTAGTTTTTTAAATTGCATATCCAATTCATTGGTCTATACTTTCTGTATTTTATTAATGTAAGCATTTAGAGATATAAATTTTCCTCTGATTACTGCTTTTGCTGTGTCCCATAAGTTTTGATACGTTGCCTCATTATTGTCATTCTCTTTAATGAAATTATTTATTGTTTCTGTGATTTGTTCTTCAATCCATTCATTCTTTAAGATTAAGTTGTTTAGTTTCCAATTAATTTTTAAACTATGTTTCCATGCCCTTATTGAGTATAATTTTTATTGCATTGTGATTTGAAAAGTATGCATTTAATATTTCTGCTTTTCTGCATTTAATTGTAAAGTTTTTATGCCCTAATTTATGGTCAGTTTTTATAAAGGTACCATGTGCCACTGAGAAACAGGTGTATTCCTTTCTATTCTCATTCTAGTCTCTGTCTTTCTTTTTTTTTCTTCCTTCCTTCTTTCCTGCCTTTCTTTCTTTTCTTTCTTCTATCTCTCTCCACGGAGGGTGTCACACCCTTACCTGACAGTGCTCTGCCCAAAGGGAATATAAATTTTAGTCTCTGATTTTTTGTTTTTCCTTTTAAAAACTAGCTTTAACCCCAAATCACTCTGGCCCCTGACCAAGCCCTACTTGATCACTGTTTGGGCCCTGCTTGGCTCACAATGAATGTAAATAGTGGTTGTTTCAGTGTTAGCCAGAAACCCTGAGAGTCTCCACCTCCCAGATCTATTTTTTTTAAAAGAGGCCATTCTTTGCCTCATTTTATTAAGCCTTAGTCACTGAATGGGCACTGCCTTAGTTAAACTGAGACCTGTTAAAGACCTTAGCTTGGAAAAGGCCAAGGTCCCCCACTTCATCCTAGGTCATCTCTAGTTGTACTGATCTGTATCTGGGTCACTGGGCCCACTGGACTCCCTGACGTTCATGGTCCTCGTTGAGAATAAAACACAAACAGCAGCCACAGCACAAGCAGCAGCAGCAATTATTCTTTCCAGATTTCAGTCATATTAACATTCTGTTCATTTCCTTGACTACTTTCTTATTTATTTTTTTGGTTCAATTTATCTAATTCTGAGAGGGGAAGGTTAAAGTCCTCCATTATTATAGTATTTCTATCTATTTCCACCTGTAATTCATTTAACTTTTCCTTTAAAAATTTAGATGCATATCATTGGTACATTTAGGTTTAATATTGATATTGCTTTATTGTCTATGGTACCTTTTATCATAATGTAGTTTCCTTTTTTATCTCTCTTAATTAAATCTATTTTAGCTTTAACTTTGTTGAAATCATGATTGCTACCCTCATTTTTTTATATCAGCTGAAACAATAAATTCTACTCCAGCCCTTTATTTTAACTCTATGTGTATAT